GTGAGAAGCGAGCATAGTACTCCCAGTAACGTGAAGTAACTATGATACGGTAGTGGCTGAGGGAGTACGTATGCTCTCCAGGACATTACTCTCTCTCTCTCTCTCTTTCTTTCTCAAGGGTTGAGGGGATTGCGCCCCTCACCTCTCTCTCTCTCTCTCTTTCTTTCGCCAGGGCTAGGGGTAAGGGAGAACAAGCCCCCCTCACCCGCGCGTCTCTCTCTCTCTCTCTCTCTCTCTATCTCTCTTTGTGAATGCGAAGACGAGGGTTCTGCCCCCACCCCGGCACGAGTGCACACGCCGGTTTGGAGTGGAGTGAACAGCAGAGGCTTCAAGGCCATATCTCAATCACAGAGGTTCTCATTACGATATTCATTCAAGCATTCGTAATAGAGAAGAAAGCGGCAGGTTGTTCGGAGAGGTTCGGCTGGGTTCCCGTCTCCCACAGCATCAAGCCCACCGACCTCAGACCCCTTGAAGAACTCGGTTGGGACCCAGAGCGGGAAGTATCGGGCTAAGGGCTTGACTTTGGTCGAATGGACGTCGCGGTCTGCGTGATCCCTTCTGCATTACATGCTGTATCTTCGAGACGGAGCTTAATCCAAAATCAGCGGAGCTCTAAGTAGTCGAAGACCTTGCAGACCGCAACTGAAGTCCGACAACGAGTAACCGACTCAGCCATCCAGACATGACTAAGCCCGCGTCTGCAGTTGGCCCAGTGCCCGGTGCGGGTCGCTTCAGACCTTCGCATGACAACTATAGGTTCGGGTGGCTTCATGCACTGAAGATGCGAGGAACCAACATATCATAACAGCCCAAAGGCAAGCGAACATGCTGATTCACATGATCTCAGACTTCCCCTTTCACACGACCAAAACGCTGCTCCTCGTCAAAGAGTCCGAAAGTTCCAACTGGATGACTAGCAGTTTCCAAAACTAGGCATGTTGGAGGTTTGTGGAGCTTTCAGAGCCGACTTCTCAGATGCTGGCCGCTGCTCAGACTGGTGGATGCCACCTCACTCCAAGCGAGGAGTTTTGTTGGATGTTTTCAATGCTGCAGATCGAGAAGAAGACTCGCCGAGGATGTTGTGGGGGGGCTCTTCTACAGCCTAATCTTTTCTGGCTTCGCGGCTCTTAAGTGAAGGAATGAACAAACTGCAGGGAGCCTGGGGATGCCCAAGTCACAGCAGGATGCCGTAAGTAGCCTGTTTATGTACAGTACAAGAACAACGACAGCCTCAGATCTTCAAAACCTCGAACCCTGAACTTGAGAAGAAACTGTCTTGATTCAGCAAGAATGCTGCTAGCCCATGCCACAAACAGGAATCCAGCAAATCATCTCGCATATGTAACTCTCCACACCGACAGCGACATGTGAAACACAAGAAAGCCTGAAACATTGAACAAACCAACTCCAACCCCCTACCTTACGTGGCCCACTACAAACACAAAAGGACCGGAAGCTACTATCGTCAGAACCCTCGCAGCCCCTCCCCGGGCTTGTGGTCTTAGGCTGGCAGCTGAAGTCGGAAGCCTGAAAAAAATATTGAGGCTGTGGCAGAGGCGACGCCTTTGAGGGCGGCAGTGCCGGGACGGAACAGTGACTCAAGGTATTGATCCAAAGGCTCGAGTTCTATGAACATAACAGGAATGCACTACAGATGACAACATTCGCTGTGACAATCGTGCAACAATGGTTTCTTCTGAGCTGGTTCGGGGGTTCTGTGGTATGGGCGCAGGAAAGGGAACCTTGGGTGGTCAAACAAACTCGGGCAGTTGGAGCTTGCAGGTTAAATGCCCTAACATTCGGAGGCTGCGGTTGTGCAAGGATGAAGCGCTTGCTGTGATTCGAAGAGTTTGCAGTGTCAGGATTCAGGATTTCAAGGAAGTGCACACTTGGAGGATTTGGTGATGCCAAGTACGGGGTCTCTCAACCTTGGAATTTCCGGTTCAGTGCCAGCAATCAGACCCAGTTTCTGACGACCTCGCAGTTGGAGGATATAACCCAGGCTAGCTGTGTTAAGCAGTATGTGCGACAACTCGGGGGGCTCGAGACGTGTAGGAATCCGGTAGTGGGATGAAGCTGAGCCCGAGACTGCCCGCACTGAATGCTGTTGGCAGGCCATGTCCTCAGTATGGGCAAGCCAGTCTCAGTGACCTGCATGTATCACGGTCGCAATGCAGGCTTGGAGTAAGGTCCAACAGTCGTAACCCGTAACCGGCCCGCAATGCAAAAACTACCGGCTTACCCGCCTCCGACTTGTGACGCGGCCTGGCATATAGCTGGTTTCATCACAAGCTTCGGCACACAGCGACGTTATGCTTCCTGACACTGCATTGCGTGTAAGAGAAAGGCAAAGACTTGCCAGCTTGCAACGGACCTTGACAAGTGCGGTCTACACAATGTGTTTGAGACTGAAGCCCCGAAGGACAGATGTTGACAGAGCCATAGCCGTTTGGGGGCATGGGCCGCTCACACCCAAAAAACCGTGAAAACCACTGCCGAAATGCATAAACCGCAGCGATTCGCAATCGGCAAGGCGCAAGGTCATGGTGACGTGAGGGTGGGACTCGAAAGTACCAAGCAGGGCCACTCGGACAGTTCGGCCCGGGTGCAGGCCGGGGACGAAAGGAGCGAGTTTTGCTCGAGTTCGTCAAAGATAACGGTCTGGTAGTACACACTTTTACTGGGAACAAGAAACCTGGTCTTCAACCCGCACAACCCCTCGAAACTAACCCCGAAACCCATGCCTAGCCATCCCGAGCCCAAACAACCTTGCTAAATCCACAGTCCCTCCAGCCCCGAAACCACCACTCCAGAGGCAAGCCTCCACCGCAGCGCGCGAAGGCCTCTGGACTCGAAGCTTGGTTCTGTTGCTTCGCTCGCAAAAAAGAATCCTAGAGCCTTTGCTTCCAACCGCCCCGTCATCATAGCAGGCTCTCTTGACTCTTAACCTGCAGGATTTGCGCTGGAATGGTGGTGTGGATCACCCTTTCAAAGCGCATTGTAGAACCCTTACGAAACATTCCCGAGCAGCACTCTTTGGCTCTTTGAAGACATCTTTGCAGAGCACCCGTCATGCAAGCTCTGCTTAAGATGTGCCCAAAGGACACAAGGCACCGAGAAGTGGCTTACAATGTGTCTCGGCTCGGGAGAAGTTTGAGCACGGAGCCACCTGTGGAGCAAATTTCACCACTACATCTGAACGCTTTGCGCGACGAGTGGTGCCACTTCGACCAAAGCTGCTGAAGAGGCTTGTGCCCTTCGCACCTCCCTGTCTGCCGGTCTCGCACTGCTGGCTCGTTAGGCCGTTCAGGCGGAACTGCGCAGCATGGCCACCAGAAGCAGCCGCTCACAGAAGAGCAGCATTGGGCCCGCGCGCTTTTGGCTCGAGGTTCGAAGGCGAGCATTTCAAAAAATGACGTCGTCGCTCTGCTGCTCTCCTTTTGATTGGAGTGAAGCAGCGAGCGCGTCGATTTCACGAGTACAGAGCAGTCATGGCTCCACGGGATCTATGTCAAAAATCAAGAGGAACCCTTACTGTAATTTTGGGCAAGCAGCAGCGCAAAAGCATCAGCATCATCAGCAGCGTCAGCAGAAGCGCCAGCAGAAGCGCCAGCAGAAGCGCCAGCAGCAGCATCAGCGGCAGCAGTAGCAGCATGAATAAATGTCCTTGCAGAGGTCGATCTCGAATGGAGACTAGGAACACTCTGCACGGCAGCCCTGAATACAACAGCGGCATCTGTCCAATTGAAGCGCCCACGTCAAGTCACTTCAAGCACCTACCTGGGGTGAGAAAGGTTTAGGTCTCAAAACAAATGGGTTTCAGGTGGGATCAAGTTGCAAAGCTTGAGCCCTCAAGTGACGTCATTGAGGATGAGACAACCCCCAAGTGGTCAAGTCCTGTGCAGAAGTTTAGGTCTCGTCGGAGTGGCCTGAAAGTGACTTTCGAGCTACACTTTGGCCGCAAGGCAGACGGCTGACACAGGGGCGCAAAATGTGTCAGTCGCAAGGAAACTGCAAGCTGCCATTTTCGGCGGCGAATTTTGGTTTTGAAACGTTCTGCATGTTTTGAGGGTTTGCCTTTGGGTAGTGTCATGTCTCTGGCTACAGAGTCTGCGCTGGCGGGCCTTGAACCCACAGATACTATGTTTCATTGCCGAAAGGCTGTGTAATTGCACCAGCAGCAGGCTTCGAGCTGCAGGCGGTCTAGGTGGCCAGGCGAGACTTGCGTTGCGTTCGCTCAGTTTCGGGTTAGGTTCAGGTCGGTACAAACAGCTTGCAGGCCTACACGAGGGCACAGGGCAAGTGGTGGTTCAGATGGGAATCCACTATGTGCACTTCCATTCGGTCTTGGGGAAACCCATGTCTTATGAACTGAGAGCTGCAGGGATATCAGCAGCCCTACGATCAGGATCCGAACATGTCTAGACCGAAAGATGGCGAACCGGAAGGAAATGTAAGATACTCAGGCCTAGACTCGCCTAGACTCTTAGACGCCGCTCCCAAGCGGCCCCCTCACCGGTATTCAAAGCCGGAAAGCAGCAGAACCGTCTGCTCAGTGGACCGCATTACAGTTCGAACCTCGGTTTCTGCAAGCAGTCACCATGGCTAGGTTCGGATGCACTGTGAGCCCGGGCTTTGAGAACTGGATTTAGGAAGTAGCGTGCCCAACTTTGCAGCGTCCCCTCCCAAGAAGCTGAGGTGCTGGTCTAGGGATGGCCAGGTAGGCCCATCCTCCGAAGGAAGCTTCAGGGTCTTTCGGTTTGTGGGCTTGGGGCTTCTCGGCTTGGAGAGTCACTGGCTCTTGGGTCGGAGCGTACTGCTCTTTTCAGATAACCAAACACCTTTTGGCGCATACGCGTCCTCCTAAACCGAAAGCAATAACAGAACAGCTGAGCTGGCAACATACATAATACCACCAAATCAACGCAACACCCATGACTCTAAAATCCAAAAAATGAAGTGCCCTCAAACCTGAAAGCCTGAAGCCCAAGAGCAAAACGGCGAGCAAAGAACACCTAAACCCTAAATCCAACAGGAACCGGCACCCATGAACCCTACACTGTCCTTGAAGTCTCATAAACCCGACCATTCTTCAATCAACCCGAAACCCCATGAGCCTTTGGAGAACCGAGTCGGCCTCCAGGGCTCTCGAGAGCTTCGGGCACCAGGGCGCCTGCTTAGGGGAGACCAAAGGACCTGACAGGAGTGAACAGAAAAAGGCCACAGGACTCACAGGACTTTCAGGTGTTTCATTGTATCTCAGGGTCTTGGACAGCTGGAGGCCTAGCAGAGGAAGGCTTCCGGGTGCTGTTGCACTCGGCTGAGCGCGGAAACCGTTTCCTGCGAATGCAGAGAGCCCCGCTGCAAGAAACGGCCTCAGGCCTTCGGAAGCAAATCAACAATGAGTCACATCCGGATCTTTGCATCAAGCCTTTGAGCTTTCAGACAATATAACTAAAAGCAAACCAGAAGCGCACTCTGCACACAAGGCACCCATCTTCATCAGCGTAGGTGGGCTCGGAGGTGCACACTTCCGGACCATTGGCACACAGGGGCCGTCGTCATCGTCCTCCCGTTGAAGGAGAATCTCAACTAAGCTGCGCATGGATTTTCTTTGGCCAGCTGTAACTGCCGAAAGTGAAGGAACAGGACCTGACTTGTGCTGTGAGTTGCAGCGAGAGGTACCTCAAAGGCCATAGCAAGATGCCGGACTGATGCCGACAAGCTGGGATTGCTCCACGTGCAGGAGAGGGGCGTGAACATCAAAGCTCCTGTCCCGACCCGTCGACTCTCAACTGAACATCGGAACTCCTCGTCCACCTCCCCGGCATGCCGCTCCGGATCGGGGCAGGCGGGTGTGTGCTTCGCCTCGTCCTCGTCTTCCTGCCACAAGAGTCTCGAAAAGTCGCATCGAGTGAAGCGCTCGGGCTTTGGATGGCTTCGCAGCTTGCAAACCGGAGCAGCTGACACAAGCTTCCATAGCTCACAACAAAATCCCCAGCATGAGCACTGCATCGCATCCAACGATGTCAGATTCAGGAAGGCGTGAAACTTCGATCACAACTTGGCAAAGAAGCAGCCCGCTTCGACGACTTCCAGACGCAACTTGATCACTTGTGCTGTTGACGCATTTGCCAGATTATGTTTGCGCGCCGACTACAATGAGTTAGAGATTTCTGCGGGTTGGATACTGACACTATGGGGCCGAGCTTGCGAGCAAGGTGGACAAAGCTGACATGACTGTTTATCATGGAAAGAAGCCGTGCTGCAGACATTATTTCTCCACAACGCATTGGCCAAGCTGCTCCCCGTGTCCCTTGCATGACCGCATCTAAGAGTGTCTGAAGGGGCTTGACCTCCAACCACCCGTGTCTCTCGTCCCCCTCTCCACGTTCAACCCGCACTCCTCGACGCGCTCGTAGCCTCGGGCTCACACAGAACTCTGGACGACAACACCCTGAGATTTTTTATTATTTACGCCGCAGTTGAAGCTTCAACACCTCAGAATCTGCAGGCCGTGATGCCCAGACGCTCGTAGAAACGCACCGCAGAGGCCAGAGACCGCAGCCGCACTTCGCCAGGCCGGAAGCCCTGAGAAGCTTTGGAGTTTGGGCTTGGGTTGGGTTTGTGTCGAGTGGGCAAAGGTTCTGGAATTTTGTCGAAAGCTTGGATGGCTAGTTTGGCATATTGCAGGGTCCAGCAGGCGGCACAGCCTAACGAGAAGGGGACACCTTGCAACACGGCACAGACAAGCACAACAGTGCAGATCATAATGCATCGAAATGTCGTGATCTGACCGGCAGCCATCAAACATATTAGGCAAGTCATGAGGTATCTTACATCATGTGTAATCCATCATTCAACGTGGATGATGTTGCATGCATCTGATGTCATGGCATCTCATACAACGTATTGTCATTCAATGTTTCTGAAATGTGGCAACAAAGCGTCATGATGTAAAGATGAAGAGTCGCCGCGAGACATTGTAGTGTAGTCCACTGTAAGAGTAGTCGTTTCACTACGATATGTTGAAGGACAATACCGTGCCTAATGATTTCAAACACGATATCCATCTACTTTGATGCAGTAATGCAACAGATGAGACACGCCTGCACCAAAGAATTCGTCTAAGGACGAGGAAAACCCGTCAACAGGCGACGTCCGCAACGGCGTCTTGAGGCGTCAATGTATGGCCTGCCTAATCTCAGTCGTCACTGGCTAGGTTGGGACGGAACCGTCTGTACTGCTTGCTAGGCCTTCCGAACGGAAACATCTTGGCCTACGATGAAGCGTCAACGTGTGGCGCATTATGGCGCATTCATACGCAAACGCTCGTGTGGCACAGGCGATCCTAAACATTCTGAGACGAAACACAGGCTTCCAGGATAGTCACAGTGCCAAAAACCCGTCCAGCTCTAAAAGTTTCTCAAATCACCTTCAAACTTCCATCTTCAAGACTTGACGGCTTCGAGGTTCCACTGTCAGATACTTTCATAGCCAGCTTGCAAGCCTGAAACCCGGCGGACCTCAGCGGTGGAGATGCCCAAGAGTGCTGCACGGTCTTCAGCAACTTTCCTGAAGCCACATGCGAAGAGGCGAAGGTTGACAACGCAGGGAAGCCCGTGGCACGTATCCTTGCAGAATTTACCAGGAAAAGCTTCAACTCACCCTTGCTGCCTTGGCTCATAAGCTGCCTGCCGTAACCCTTGCCCCGATGCTTGTCTGCTACGCCGACGGCACCTGCGATCTCTCTAAGTCTTCAGGGTCACGGCATGCAAGGGCTGTTAGGGCCCTGTTCAGGCCGTGATTTATAGATCGTTCGGAATTCATGGCTTGCGCAGGGATGCAGCACCGCAATTGACGTGGGGTACGTGCGGATATCGCAATCAATTTGAACACCGAGCTGGGCTCCACGAGTATATGCAGCGATTGACATGGGTTGGGCCACCAAGATCCCATGACGCACAAAGCATCCCAAAGCAGTCCCGCTCGACTAAGGAGAAGGGAAGCAACCTGGCCATGCCCAGCTTCTGCAACAGGATAGGATTTTGACGTTTCAAGCCCTGTGACTCCTGAACCTCAACCCAGCATCAATCTCAGATCATGCAGAACACTGGACCTAACGCCTCTGGACCTAACGCCTCTGTCACGCGCATTAGCTGAAACTGTCTGAAACTTGAACTTGGGCCTCCCGTCCATCACCACCTCTCTCCCTTGGGCACGGCCTACACTCACACCGGGAACCGGCGGGCCCCAGGTCTTGTAGGCCACGAAGCCCAGCAGGTCCAACCTCCAGTCTTAAAGCTCTAGGCCCTAGGCCATCAGCCGCTGTCTCACGAAATTGGCAAAGTGCTTCCAAAGGGCGCAGGATCTTCCCCCGGCCTCTCCTCCACCAGCAGGCTCAGCTTCAGGTTGAAGTCCTGATTGCACGAGCATGGGCCAGAAGTCCTAGACCTTGCACGGTGTCTGCATCATCGACACCGTGCAAAGCTCACGTAAAGCTTCTGCAACTCAAAGACCGCGAAATCCACAGAGTAGGCAGCCAGCGATGTGGATGCATCTGTGGGTGTGTCGGTAGATGAGAAACGTGGGCAGGCAAGTCGGCAGCTGGCTTCTGCTATGATGCATGTTAACAGCTAGCAGCTACCTGTCTGAGCTCAAGCGGGAATCAAATTCAAATCCCCAACCACCTCAATATCCTACGAGCCTACACCCTGAAACCACACGGCACAAAGGCGACCTCACAAAAAAGACTTTGCTGCCCAGATGGCGCGCTGCGCTTGTCGGAAATTCTTGAGATCGGCACCGAACCTCACATGCTTGGAACATCTCTGAACTCGCAAAGCTCAAAGGCGCAGCGGGGAATGTGCTAACATCTTCGTTGACTCTTCTCACCTGCGAAGAAATTCGAAGAAATCCGCGGAGCGCACATCTCTGAGCCCAGCGGCTCTTCCAGGAGGATCTCCGCGAGCTGCTCGTCGATCACCGAGCCAAGCCCCGAGATGGCCTTGTGGGCAGAAGTTGCGGCGTCTTCTTTTATCTATAAGGAACTCGCAACGCGGCCCAGTGACATAGGCGTCGTCGTCTTCCGGATCTTGGAGCATGACGTCGTTCAGCAAAAGCTCCTCGAAGCCACGCTTGAGCGATGGCTCGCACCGCACGCGAATTCCGGACCAGTGGGAAGTCTGGTCTCACCCCGTCCTCTTTCAGTTCGTGAAGCTCGTCCTCCAACTGCCAAAGCTCCTGCAAGAGTCTGGGGGAGTCTATTGACAGGTTCGCGTGGGATATCACGGGTTCTCCCATCGATCGACCTAGACCCTAGACCTTTGAAGCCGACACCTTGCAGTCCTTGTCTGTCAGTGGCTTGCGCCGGTGCTCGCGCATCCGCCGCTCGATGTCTGCAATGTACTGGCGGGCAGCCCTCGGCTTCGCATAGCTGCAGGTCAGTCTTGGACGTGCCAGAGTTGGGTAGCCCTGGGCCCTGGAGACTCTGCGACTCGGTCCATGCCCGATCTGTCGTTCCAGGAACCCTGAACTACGCACGAACGGGCCCTGCCCGGTCCGACAAGCCCCGAGCATGACAGAGTGTGTCTGCGGCTGGCGCCCGAAAGTGTTCTAAACCCATGGAACGCCGCCGAACGGCTCGGAAGGCGTCACTGCCGTCTTCGCAGAACAGTGGATGTCACCCTGCGGTTCCGGGTAGGATGTTGAAATCTCGGATCTGGAAACGTGTAGAACAAAAAGCACCAGTGACTGTTCCTGTATTGGCCTAGTTACCCGGAAAATCTCTCCCCGACTCCCTTTCATTCACTCCCTCGCGCGAACCTTAAAGGTTCCTTCGACGTGCAGCACGCCGTCATCCATGAACCACTTCTCATTGGCGAAGTCGTTGCAGAGCTGTTCCTCTTGCGATAGCAGGGGATGCAAGCGGGCATCTTGAGACCTGCATGTACAAACCTTGCATCGGCGTAAAACCAACCAATCAATTCAGCCACTGGCCGCTGGTCGTCAAGAAACACACCCATGAAGATTTTACAGACTTGAGCATTGGTGATTGTAGTTAGGATCTAGGATGCCAAAGTTCTGCTTGAAAGGACAGAGGAGAGGATGGGCTTGAGGATGTATAGCTTCTGCCGGGCTGCATTCGAGGAAACCAGGATGACGCCACCGGCAAAGTGGTCGAGAGCGCTTCGGAGGCCCTGGATGTCCTCTGCACGTTCTTTCGCAAGGCAATCCCTCCGAGAGCCGTCGACCTACCTCAAGGCCGAGATTGCGGGTTTTGTCGAAGTCCAACAAAGATTTGGCTTGAGAGTTGGAGCCAGGTGTGTGGCTTCCTGGTCTTCGCTGGAGAGACCCGGAGTTGTTCTGATCTGATCTGGCTCACGGCATCCGTCCTCGACGTCCATGTAGTCTGCCAGCTCGTCCAGTATCAAGATGTGCGGATGCTGCCAGAGCGCAGCCGCCAAGACGATCCTGCGCGGCTCTGGTCATCAGTGCTCCACACATCCGTCATCGGCATCTCGAAAAAACAACTCTGAGAATCGTTTCGCAGACGTCTAGGCAAATATCCGAGTTGTGCAAGAGGCCCTCCAAGGGAGGTTCGGGACTTCGGGCAAATGGATCCCCGTAGTGTTCGGTGACAAACTTGCAGATTGACTCCTGATCTTCATAGAACGGGAGAGTCGACCTCCGCACCGTGCGTCGCTTGATTCCAGATTCCAAAGAGACTGCCGACAATTTACTTAGAATCTGCACCCCTACCCGCAGAATCACCAGTTTCAACACCCAAACGAGCAGACCCTCCAATAGGGCTTGGGCACCCATAGGCAACTGACAGGCGCTGGCATCCACTTGGAAGCGAGCGAGGTGGCTCTGGACATTGTCTCGCGTCAGCTCCTGCAGAAGCAAGCAGACTGAAAAAAAACACAGTTTATTGTTGGTAGTTGGTTGGGATTGTTGTGGTGCTGGTGGTGCTGGTGGTGCTGGCGTGCTGGCGGTGCTGGCGCCGTGCTGGCGCCGTGCTGGCGCCGTGCTGCCGGTGTGTACAGCGAAAGCGGCAGTAGCAGTCGCAGCATCAACAACAGAAGCAGTATATAGCGGTAGCGGTAGACTGCGGTGGCGGTGGGGTGGCGGCAGCAGTCGTCCCGTAGTAGTAGGTGGTGGTGGTCGTGGTGGTCGTGGTCGTGGTCGTGGTCGTGGTCGTGGTCGTGGTCGTGGTCGTGGTCGTGGTCGTGGTGGTGGTCGTGG